GTAATAAACTGCCATTTTTCTTTCTTTCTTTTCTTAATAGAAAAAAAAATAACAATGATGATGGTTAACTAAAAAATTCTAATCAAATTATTTATTGCCCTTAAAAAATAATTTCTCCAGGATTTTAGCAAAAAATAGAACCAAACTCGTGATTCTTCGGCGATGCAAAATCCGAAGCTCTCTCTACGACAAATCTATTCTGACAAATTCTCCAGGATTTTAGCAAAGAATAGCCGAATATTCCCAATTTGTAAACTATTCCAGAGGTTTCGAAATATATGAGGGCAAATCACAAGGAATTATGTAAAATCAACTTGATTATTGACAATTGTCAAATTCACACGATCTATTGGATTGTTTACTAAGAAAAATGACTCCGATTTGATCAATTCTCCGCTGATTCAAATCTTCTAAAACTCAAACCAAAAGTAGTCTTCCACAGACAATCCAACAGCGATCGATCTTCAAAGAAACACGCAGCAGTTCGAAGGCGGCGATTCTGAAATGCCGATATTGAAAAGGGAATATTAAAATATTGTAGAACCTCGATCAAAGATTGGAGATACTGAAAGGAATAGCGATCATCATCATGAATATTTACGGCGTAGGGTTTGTGGAGGGCTTCAACTTTCAAAGAGACAAATCAATGGGAATTCGGTCAGAGTATACGCAGAAAATCCGGGCCTCCCAAAATATGAGTATTATTTATATAATATGGATGGACTGCCATAAGCCCCGCTCGTGCGGCCCACGTGCTGGTTTAAAACTTAGATGTCTTTATTACTTAAACTATTTGTTTTGATCTATTTTTATATCAAATTTTCATTTAAAAAATCATATTCATTTAAAAAAATAATACATAATTTTTTTTTTATTTTAGTACCTAACCATTAAAAACTTAACGGGCGGGATGAAGTGGCATAGCTTCGGTGGACAGACGACACATTTAAACGGTGGACCAAGAGAGAATTACGAGTCGACCAACATAGTATAGTTTCAGGCCCATCGGACGGTGGACCATGGATATCGAATGACAAAGAAATCGAAGATTCTATCATCTATTTGGGGGGAGATTAAGGCGTTTTCCATTAAAATGGTGGCCGAAATCGCGGTTAGGAGATCAAATAGATGCGGATTCAAAAGTTTGGGCTTCATCAGCCGACGGATGCGACAGTCGATGAATGTAGACGCGGTGACCGATGAGTTCGTCCATGAAGTTTTTAACGGTGAGGTGCTAAAATGGACCAAAACTGATAGTTTAGGTACTAAAATCGTAGTTTATCCTAAAACTTACACAAATATAAAATTTTGTTAAATACACAAAAAGTCGACTGGCATAGTCCAGTTTCAAGCCCATCAAACGATAGAACATGAAGATCGAAGGATGAAGAAATCAAAGAGTCCGTCGTCAATTAGGGAGATTGAGGGCTTTTTCTGTTGAAATGGAGGTCGAAATCGCGTTTAGGTGGTCAAAAAGGTGTGGGCTGAAAAGTTTGGGTTTTGTCGACCGACTGATGCAATGATCGACGACTGTAGACATGGTGGTTAACAAGCTCATCAGTGAAATTTTTAACGGTGAGGTACTAAAATAAAACAAAAACTAAATGTTAGGTATGATTTTAAAAAATGAAAGGTAGTAAAACGAACCAAAACATATGGTTTAGGTACTAAACGTGTAGTTTACCATAAAACTTATACTAATATAAAATTTGGTAAAATATACAAATGGTCCCCCAACTATAGCATGCTACTTTGTTAAGTCCTTTAACTATTAAAAATTACAAAATAATCCCTCAACTATTGGGTACTATTTGGTTGAGTCACTAGACAATTAAAAGTTACAAAATGGTCACCTAAATATTCATATATTCCAAACTAGTCCTTTTTTGTTGAATAATTAACAGTCATCTAAGCTAGATGTTAACATGATGACTAAGATGTAATAAAATTATATTTTAATTATGTTTACTGGCATTGTCGTTGCTTTCAAGCACTGACATTGTCGTTGCTTTAAAACATTGTCTCAATGACATAATGTAAACGTAGAGTCGATCTATAAAATACAACTCAAACGGTTTTGGGATCATATTTTATCATATCCCAATCAAAATGTGAATGTTTAGCTCACACGACCGTCATTTTTTAACGAAAAAAAAAACGAGTTAGAACATATGAATAGTCGGATAGTCATTTAGTAACTTTTAATAGTCAAGGGACTCAACAAACAGTGTCATATAGTCGAGAGACCATTTTGTAAATTTTAATAGTAGAAAGACTCAACAAAATAACACCCTATAATCGAGATACCATTTGTATACTTTACCCTATAAAATTAAGCGAGTTTTACACACCTACATAAAATTTTCTTCAATTGATATTTTAAGATTCAATTGTTGAATTTCATATCTTATTTATGTAGATTATTTATGTCAAATTTTGAATAGATTGAAAATATCTAATTATTTATTTTATATAAAAATGTAATCAGTAAATATATTAATAAATATAGTATTTTAAATTAACATGATAGAGATTAAATTGACTGAAATTTTTACATGGGCAATTAAATAAATTTGTTTGTTAACGTAATTGTCAATATATTCAAATGTTATTTGGATAAGAGTTTATTTGTACAAACACATTTTTTATTTACGAAATTTATAATTATTTTTGAGATCGGGAGAGGGTGTAATCAAGATTTTGGGTATAAAATTTGGGAGAATTATTAAGGTGACACATTGTTTTTAAAGTTGAGCAAATCTCGTGAATTTGAGAAATACTTAGTGTGAATAGTTAATATAGTATATATAACTTGGTTTAGAAGTTGAATCACTTTAAATTATAGTGTAATTTTTTTATTGCTTCCACCACAAAACTTTTAAAATTCAGTTCAGTCCCTCTTGACATATTTTAGCTTATAGATAGCCACAATATTTTAGATTAAAATGTGCTCCAAATCCTTGTATTCTTTGTATGTTTCAAATTAGTCCTCTTAATTTTATTTTAAGAAATTTAATTTTCTTACTCTTTAAATTTAAAACTTTAAGTTGAATTTATAAATATTTTATTTTAAGATACTTCTGTTAAATAAATTGATGTGATATTTTAAAATAAAAAATATTAATTTAAATGACATTATAATGTAGCTAAATTTAACAGTAGAGTTTTAAAGATGTTAACATAATGTTCTATTAAACAATAATATTTTAACAGGGATTTAAATTTTTAATTAAAAAAGAATAGAGGGGCTAAATTCCAAATGCACAAATACTAGGTGGACTTGTAGCACATTTTAACCATTATCCAAATAAGATAAATAATTTAAAAAAAGAAAAGAAAAGAAAGTAAAGACATATCTATACATAGCATTAGCAAACTACCAAGACAGTTACCGTTTCTCTCGCTGTCTCCCTGCATTGAAACCTTCCTGTCTTGTCTCTTCCTTTTTTTCTCTTACAAACTTTCCAATATTTTCTCTTCTTTATTCACAATCCATCAAGCCAGAATAATTTCTCTCTTCGTTCAGGTAAATAATCTTATTTTCTCGTTGTCCTCGCCCTTTCTTTCTTGCATACATGCATTCATACATACATACAAAGAGATAGATCGACGTAGGACGGGTGGAGGCAATCGTCCTTCGTAACGTAATATTCTACGTTGATAATCATGTTTGGACGCTTTCACGTTTCATATATGCATTTCATCTTGTCTTGTCAGCTGTTTTATAACAAGCATTCATTTCTACTGTGAATTAATCAGCAAATGGCTGAAAACTAAGCAAGTTTTTTGACTTTGATTTGCTGAAAATTTTGACAAATAAGTTGCTTTAATACAAATGGTCTGAGTTTTGGCCATTGCCAAAACACAGCCTGTACCGTTAACTCACGCCATAAGACTAGCTCATAGCATATTGCTAACAGGAGAGGGCAGTGATTTCATCCTTAAAGTTTAGTCTTGGGTATTTTTTCTTTGGCATAACGACACAATTACTCTCAATGTTTGTACAATTAGACGCTTAGTTTATATTCTCTATTTTCTGAGTATTTTACCTTAACATTTCAGTTTTTTATCAAAATAAACTTTGTTGGATGAAAATATTTAATTGACTAATAATCATCGCATGTTATTAACACGACATTTTTACATATAATCTATTGTTGGCGTGACATATTTCATGTCACCGAAAATGGTGATGTGGCATGTGTCAGACATTCAAAGCGAATATATGGCATTTTCCACATCAGTAATTGAACACATATGAAAATGACATGCCAACAACATGTGTTAATGGTTAGTCAACTATCTGTTTTCTTTCAACATTATCTGTTTTGAAAAGAAAAATAGAAACATTGAGGTAAAATTACTCAAAATAAAAAGAAAAAGAAAAGAATTGGAGACATGTTACTCAATTAACCGTTTCCATCCAACAATGTCTTTTTTTCTTCTTTTTATCGATGTTGGAACGATAACTTCAATAGTGGAAGTTGAAAAATATGATAAACTACACATTTAATTCCTCAATTATCACTTTTATTTTATTTTGGTCACCAATTATTTTTTTCCAAAATCATACTAACGTTTAGTTTAGTTTTGATTTTATTTTGATCATCCGTCATTAATAAATTAACAATGATCTTAATTGTTATCATATCATCATTGAAAAAAAATATACCACCTTATCGATTATGTTAATTTTTTTAACGGTAGGTGACCAAAATGAAACCAAAACATAACATTAGGTATGAGTGACCAAAACAGAACAAAAATAATAGTTGAAGTATTAAATATGTAGTTTACCCTAAAAAAATCAGGTGAGGTCATAACTCACATTAACCAAAGTGATGGCGTAGATGAAGTTGGCAAATCAAAGGCATCAGACGAGACAGGAACTAAGTCGAGGTCTGATCCATCACATTCCAATGCTGTAATATTTACAAGCAAGTGCTTCTCATGGTATCAAATCTTGAAAACCTATTTTGTTAAGGCCAAGTGATCAGGTTTGAAGAAGATCATCATACACAATGAGATGGGGAAGAAACGATTGAAACATGTTTCCATTGCTGTGATTAAAGAAGTGATCAGGTGTTTCACATGGCGCAAAATTGACTTGACAAAGTTGTTTCTTGCCGGAGCAGTAATGTCAATAGCTGGTATACTACTTCCAACCTTTTTACTTGCTTATCGCAGTAACATCCGCTTCGGTCGTTCTCCTATCGATAACTTATCACACCGATCGTTGAATGGTTTCATGCATTCGAGAAAAAACTCTACTCAACTTGTCCCAAGTGCTCCATTTGATTCACTGAACTCATCTATTAAAGCTAAAGAAAGACCTAGACGCGTTCGTAGGAGGCAGAATGTTGATACGCTAAAGGTTGTACCCCCTCCTCCTCGTACACCTGTATCCCGTAGCTTACAGGTGAAGATATTAGAGCCGTTTTCGTTTCATATTCCGATGAATGTATGATCAGCAGATGGTAATAATAATCTAACTACAACATCATGACGTCTGATTCAGAGATATCTTAGGTCATTGTCATCTCATGAGGCTCTTCTGTATGCTAAAAGAGAAATCGAGCATGCACCATTAGTCGATAACAATGGCAATGGTTCTTATCTCTATGCTCCGTTATTTCGAAACGTTTCGATTTTCCAAAGGTATGGTGTATTCACTTTCATAACCGCAACTGTCTTAGCTTGTGGTGATAATACATTAACATTCCTTGTCTGAAGGAGCTATGAATTGATGGAAATGATACTTAAAGTTTACATTTACCCTGATGGAAAGAAGCCCATTTTTCACCATCCCCATTTAGTAGGCATCTACGCTTCTGAAGGATGGTTTATGAGGTTAATGGAGGCAAACAGGGAATTTGTTACAAAAGACCCAGAAAAGGCTCATCTGTTTTATCTTCCATATAGTTCACGCAAGCTAGGGCTGGCACTTTATAAGCCCAACTCGCACAATCTAAAGCCACTTACAATCTTCCTAAGGGACTATGTCAACATGATAGCCTCAAACTATCCCTTTTGGAACCGTACACATGGATCAGATCATTTTCTTGTTGCTTGCCATGATTGGGTAAACTTGTCTTCTTTCTGTTTCAAAGATGAAATGCCATTTTGATTACTGTTGAGGTTTCGTGAACACGGTAACTGTTTCGGTGGTCAGAGTGCGAACGGAGCACTTCGATCATCTGACAGTAACAACCTTCACTTGATCCCAACATATAGACTCTACTTTCATATATGTATATAATATACATGTGAAGTCATTTTCTCTGAACTGTATTTTAACCATTTGCAGGGTCCTTACATAACTACAGGGCATATGGAGCTAAGAGATAACACCATAAAAGCTCTATGCAATGCTGACCTGAAAGAGAATTTCATTGCTGGAAGGGATGTGTCTTTACCGGAAACTGCCATAAGAAATGTGCGTAGACCTCTTAGAAACATAGGTGGCGGGATCCGGGTTTCGCAACGTCCAATCCTTGCTTTCTTTGCTGGAAGGATGCATGGAAGGGTCCGTCCTAGACTTGTCAAGCATTGGCGAAACAAGGATGAAGACATGAAAATCTACGGTCCTTTGCCGGTTCGAGTTGCTAGAAACATGAGTTATATACGGCATATGAAATCGAGTAAATATTGCATATGCCCTATGGGATATGAAGTGAACAGCCCAAGGATCATAGAGGCTATATATTACGAGTGTGTGCCGGTGATTATTGCAGATAACTTTGTCCTACCTTTGAGTGAAGTCCTAGAGTGGAATGCATTTTCTGTGACAGTGGCTGAAATCGATATTCCGAGACTAAAGGAGATTCTATTGGCTATTCCATTGAAAAGGTACCTCAAAATGTTAATGAATGTGAAGATGGTGCAGAAGCATTTTCTTTGGAATCCCAGTCCTATGAGATATGATATGTTCCACATGATACTCCATTCCATATGGTACAACAGGCTAAACCAGATCCAAATTTCTCAGTCCTAGCTGGCATTGATAAATGGGAACACTTTCTCAAAAATTTTCCACATAACAGGTGCTATTGCGGGGGTATCGTAGTTGTGCAATGACAGTTTCAAACGGCACTAAAGAATAACGGCCACTCATTTAACCAATCTAGGGTTCATGCCAAAAATGCATTCGATGTAATAAATAACACATTTACCAATATGACTATACATGAGTAAATTCATATATGTAATCAATTATATCAACCACAAACAATCATTTGTTCACCTGCACATTGACCACATCACGGTTTAATGACCTGAAAATTTAAAAAAAAAAGATCGACAAGGAATCATTTCTTTTTAGAAAATTCCAAAGCAAATAAGAAAATAAAATTAAGGAATCAACCTTATTAATAACTTCAAAGAAAATAATGGAGATTATCAATCAATTAATTGATCAAGACATGTTCTTTTTTCACTTTTTCGCAAAGCCCTGTCCTAATGAGACCACAACAATTGCAACTAAATTATACAAGAGAAACAACGTACCATGAGTTTCTTCTCTTATCAGCACAATTATCACAAAACAACGTTAATCATTAATGTCTAATAGTGCTACTCGATTTGATACTTAAATAATATATACATGATTAATTAATTTTATAAAAACAACACATTTTTATAAAAACTCAAATATTAACAAATAAAATTTTATTAATATTTAAACTCGTCAAGTGGCTTCAGTGGTTAAAGGGAGTGTATTCTCCCTTTAGATTCTGGGTTCGAGCAGCTACGTGTGTGCGTTGTCAATTATTAAGAAAGATATTGAACACATACTATTCTTGTAATCACCCCTTAAACTCATCGAGCTATCTCAGTAGTAAAAGGGAGTGTTGTTCTCTCTAGAGGTCTCAAATTTGATTTACTATTTTGAATCCTAATAATTTGATTTACAAAATTTCATTCCTTCCTTATTTCCATTCTTTCTATCAAACAAAGCCAAACAGATCAATACAAAATAAGCACTACCAAAGTAATTTGGGATCAATAATACTACACCAATAGGATTTTTTTAGGAAAAAAAAACTTTTAAATATTTGTTGATTAATTACATAAGACATATCTAATCTTAGTCTATATTCTAAATTAATCCAAAATTTAAAACATTAAAAATGATTCATAAAATATCAGCATTGTATCAAACAGATCATTCTATCAACCTGGACATAAGATTAGGCGCTAAAAATTAACTCAAATTTGGTGCGGGCTATGTTTAAAGTATGTGAATAAACATTTAAACACGTTCATGCATGTTACATTGATAGCTTGGATTTAACATGTTAGAAAAATAAATAGTTCTCCTAAATTTTAGCGACAGTTTTTTTTATATATATCAAATCCAAATTATTCATATTGGTATACATATATTCTAAGTTTTATTTACATGAACCCATTGAGTGGTCTCAATTGTTAAGCGGAGGAGTTGTTCTCTAATCTCTATTGCGATTCTGGGTTTGAGTAGTTACGTCTGTATAGTGTGTGTATTGTCAATAGTTAAAAAATATTATGCACAAATACCATCTAGTAATCATCCTAGACTATTTAAAAAATAAAAAATGCCATTTAAAACCTAAGCCGATGATAGGATGTTAGAAGGACTCATTTGATACGATACATATACTCTGAGGACTCAACTAAATTATTTGAAAATTTAAGAACTAATTTAGAATCTGGATCATAGTTAGGGATGTATGGTGGATTTAAACTTTTCTTCTCAAAACGTTGAGAAGAAAGACAAAAAGATGGGTTGTCAATGGCCAACTTGGGCCATGCCTTTTCCATGTTGATTGGGGCATTTTGTCTCTCTTGTACGGACACCCAAAACACTTGGACAAATTATAATGCATTATAATCAATGCCATTTGGAGACTTCTCATCCCTTCTTCGAGTAAATTCTATACCTCAAACATATGAGCTTAATATATATATATATATATATTGGTAAAGTACATAAATAGTTCCTCAATTGTTTTTATTGAATCATCTTACTATTAAAAGTTATAAAATTATTTCTTAACTATAAAATGATGCTTTGTTGAATCTCATGACTATTAAAAGTTTTATTCATATGTTCCAAAATCATCTTTTTTTTTGTTAAAAACTTGACGACTTTCTGAACTAAACATAAATATGTTGATTGTGATATGATAAAATATGACTCCATAATCATTTGAGATGTATTTTATGAATAAACTCTTTATTTACATAATGTCGTCAAGCTAGTGCTTGAAATATTATGATGTCGAGCCATTGTTTGAAAGAAATGATAATGTCAATAAATATCATTAAAATTTGATTTTATCATTTTCCTAGTTAGCAGGTTAACATCCAGCTCATACGACCGTTAATTGTTTAAAGAAAATGATAAATTTAGACCATATAAATAGTTGAGTGATCATTTTGTAAATTTTAATAGTAATGAGACTCAACAAAATAATGTCCTAAATAATCAAGAAATTCAATAAAATAACACTCTATAGTCGAGGGACCATTTGTATACTTTACTCTTAAAAATATTTAATATTTATGTATAAAATACATGTATCAAAGGATTGAATTTTCCAAATAAATAATAATTAAGTAATCGACATTTAATTATGTTACTTAGACTTTTAGAACATTGGATTCTCCGGTCACACGATAGCTAGTCCCTTTCTCTTGAGCATTTGAGGTTTCAATTTTCTCAACAATACCTATAAAAATATAAAGTATTTTCCTACGATGTTTGCTAGGAATAATTTAGATATTTTGTATGCTATATAATTTTTTTTTACCGTTTTAAGTCAATTTTCTCAACAATACCTATAAAAATATAAAGTATTTTCCTAAGTCGAGTTTGCATATTGTTTAGCTCAACTTGACTCGAAAAGTTTAAAATTGAGCTCGACTTGACTCGAAAAGTTTAAAATTGAGTTTGACTCGACTTTAAAACTCGTGAGTTTAAAATTATCAAGCTCAACTTGAATTCGAAATAAAAAATTGAAGCTCGACTCGAGCTCGGAAAAACTTAAACTCGAAACATTCTCAAACTTAGTTCAATTGAAACTTGAACTCAAGCTTAAACTTGAACATTAAGTGCATGAAAAAATTTATATTGCATTTAAAAAACATATAAATATTAATATTATTAATAATTTAATTTAAAACTTAAAAACTTAAAATATTATTTTTTCGAGTTTGATATCATGTAGTTCGCTTCGACTTGTTAAGAACTCGAGTTGAGGCTATTTGACTCAATTGTTGATCTAGTTTTAATTAAATCAAACTTGAGTAGCTCGTGATTTGTTCCGTCTCGTTTACGGTCGTAATAATTATATTCAAGAGAAATTATAAATAATTTATGTACTATAAATTGTTTGAGTGATCAAAGATGTTCATATTATCTTGTCTTATGTGGGTTTGAATTCCAACATTTATTTTTATAATGTAATATCTCTATTTAATAAAAACAATCAAAGCAAAAACCAGTGTAGATATCCCCCCCAAATACAGATTTAGATATGATTATAAATTTGAAGGTCCCCTAAAGTAATTGTCATGGTTATTGTCAATACTCCACAATCAAATAAATGGTAGTGGTCCATGGATGATGATATTTTAGATGAGGCCATTAAAGACATTTGAATTATCTTCAACTGAATATATGTATGAAACATGTTTCTTTTTTCATTTTAATTTCACAAATAAAATGCGATAAGACTTCAACGATTTTGGAATCGGTGAGATAATTCTTTTCCTTGATTATTTTGATTAACCCATTTTAAGAGATGGTGATTTTACTCGATCTCTCATGTTGCTATTGGACAAGAGCAAGCCCTTGGATGGGCAGATGCTGATGGAGAAGTGACCTATGAGGCTATGACTACGAGTTCAAAGCAAAGACGATAAATATGGGGCAGATGTTTGATGGAGAAGTGACGTATGACTACGAGTTCAAGCAAAGAGAATAAATACAGCGATGGAGGTATGATTTTATGTTAATAGTAAATTTTTATAATTTTGAAACAATATAAATTTATAAAATTTTAGAAAAAATAAAATAAATTAATAATAAAAAATCTATAATATTTGATAATTTAAAATTTTGGGATGCAATGGTAGAATTCAATGGGGATCACAACCCCAAAATTTTTTAAAATTATATTTTGAACCTTTAAAATTTTCAAAATATTTAATTTAGCCCCACAAAAAATTTAGAAATTTATATTAATCTTTAATTTTTTTTGAACATTCTTAATTAAACTCCTTCCATATTTTTTTAAAATTTCTCATTAAGCCTCTCAATTTTTAAAAAATTTAAGTTAGACTCCAATTTTTTTTTTTCAAAAAATTACTCTGAACCCTTCAAAATTTTTAAATTTTAATTTAAACCTCTAAATCTTTTAAAATTTTAAATTGACTTTCCAAACTCTATCACTAAGTTTCGTCACCGTTAGGGTGACTCCTGACCTTCCTCGGTCCATCCCTCACTTAGCCATGTTGGGACAGCTAATTCCCCTTCATGGGTCATAGTTGTTTATGTATTCCAATCAAATAAAAGAAAAAAATTTATCAAGTCTAATATTAAAATGGTGGGGGACTAAAGTTAATGTTGATGTCAAAGACAATAAAAATGCAGACACTTGTTTAAAACTTATTTCCTTGTATAAAAGTTAAAATTGCGCATTTCAAATGAAACAATCAATTTCTAAAAAGCAAGATTTCATGTTTTGTGTTAGATTTTTTTTCTATGTATGGCAAATGTGAAGCTTTTTCCTGACCTTTTTAGCCCTTCAAATTTACAAAAACACATGTTCCAATTGTAGTATGTTTTCAATTCCATTAGTCAGGTGTTTGTTTTCTTTACTCATATATCACTTTTTGAAAGTTAAATAATAAAATATATTTATTATCAATTATTTATTAAAATAAATTCGTTTAAATTATTGAATTTTATATTGGTTACATATTATTTTTTTTCAGATATTTTAAATATAAATTTTTAAATAAAAACTATTAAACATGTTTTTTCTTTTTGAATAAAGCTTATTTAATTTTTTTTTTATATCTAAAACTTTCACATCAAAGCTTTTAAAGAGCTCGCACCCTTCGAACACTGAGTCAACTATATTATATAGATATAATCTTTTATAGATTCACGTGATCTATCAGAACGAAATTCAAGATTTAATGATTAGATTTATCTTGTTGGTTGTCCTACGAATAATCATAATGATCTTATGTTTGACATTATCAAACTAGAGTCACTATAAATATCCCTCAATATGACACAGAGAGGGGCTAGAACCTCCACTACTTCTATTCACTCATCTTCTTCATTCTCGTGACCCACTTTTTTTCTTATTACAACAACATTAACCAACGGTCGTTTACTCTCAGGAGATAATTCTCTGTCCAAACTAAAAGGCATGAACAGTCAACTATAGAAAAAATTAATTTATTCCCACAACACTCTTGAGTATATTATTTTTATATTTTAATCCTTCAATGCACCCTTTTAATGTAGACAAAGACATATCATATTGAACATATTTTATAAAAATGAATAAATAATTAACAATAAATATTATTTTAATATTTAATATTTTAGGATGATATATGGGTAAAAAATCAAATGTTCCTGCCAGGTAAGTTGGTTTTAAGAATAAGATATTATATTTAATTAAAAGAAAAAAATAACATAACAAAAGAATTCATCAGCAAATGATGGGATTCTCTGACCCTGTCATACTTGTTGCTAAGTTTAGCAAATTTGATGAACAATTATGTGCTCACATGGCATCAAATCTCAGGAGAATTCTCCTAGAAGCTTGGTGCTCCACAAAACAAAAACAGCAAGTACAATAGTGTAAGAACTCCGACCTTAGATGTACCTTGCTCCAGCAAATTTATGCAGACTTTTGTTAAAGATACAACATCACCTGAAAGCTGGTAAAAAGTCATAATTCAATAGAAAAAGAAATAACTTTTGGCCACCTATTTTTGTTATTTGATCATATTTACAATGTTCATTTGAGAAAGCTCTCCTGTTATCATGAACAGTGACTTGCAGTGACCTCTCAGTATATCAAAAGAATTCCATGTTGGGATTTTTGGGTAAACAACAATTTTGAGCCAAACCTACAAATATTCCATCTTTCTCTTGCTTGGGGGTCGAATTTTGAAGAAAAAAAAATGAACTTGCTAGCAATATTCCCAAAGGCGAGGCTCCTCGTATTCAAGCCCACTTTCAACAGCATCATCTGTTGCAGCAGCGAGTTTCCATGAGACTGAGCTCCACAACTCATCCATTTGAAGATTCATGTCCAGCAAGAGATCTGGGAGGTCAATGAATGCTTCATCATTATTGATTAGAGATGACTGGTGAGTGCCCTGAGATGTCACAGTCGTTGCCGGAGACGGAGCTTCAACTTCACGGCTCTTCATGCAACTGAGGGAGGCAGCTTTAGCAGCAGCAGCTTGGATATCCTTGGGTGATGCACTAGCTGGACGGGGAAGCTGATGGGCTATATCAGGGAAATTTAGATAAGCTGACTTGCCTTTAATCGCAAGAGCTGCTACATCATGTGCTCGAGCTGCCATTTCGGCTGTACGAAATGTTCCTAGCCAAATTCTCGACTTCTTCCTCGGTTCACGAATCTCAGACACCCATTTGCCCCATTGACGCATTCTAACTCCCCTATACGTTGGATGTTTCCCATCATTTTCAACCTTTCTCTTGCTTTCATTAGCATTTTTCGCTCTGCGGGACTTAAGTCCGGTCGACTCCGGAGGGGATGATGAAGAAGAAGAATAAACAGAGGCAGAGGATTGAATCTTCAACTCTGCATCAAATGGCACTTCCATGGTGGATAGTGTCTTGGAGTTGGAAGTGAAAATGTGAGGGGCATCGTTTGAAGAAGTGGAGCTAAGCTAGCTTCTTATAATTGCTTGACACGTTATAAAGTTAAAAAGAGTGTTGTCAATGCATTGGGGACCAAGTCATAAAAGATGGATGTACTGTTTGGTTACTTTGTCACCCCGATCATTCCCGGAATAATGCATGCTTAATATTTATCTAGCCCTTTTGTTTTTACCTTTGGCTAAAGCATTTTTAGTTTCTCATTTGCTCATTTCAGTCTCAAGTATTGACATTTCATCATATTGTTTAGAGGATAATCTTGGTAATAGAATTATTCATGTAGGGTTGTTCCCATAAATTTTATTTGTTTGTTGAGAACATATTTTTATTTATATATATTTTTGTTAATGGGAATAGATGAGTTACAATGATTAGAGGTCGTTCATCTCTTCTAGTTTGAACGGAGAGTCTTGGAATTTTTTAATGTCACTTTCTTCTATGAAAGAAAGAAAATACCTAACCCTGACTTTCCAGTAATACAAAGATGTGATCGAATAAAACTATAGCCTAGGGAGCCAGAATTGGGACAGGCTTGTGTAGAAGATTACAGGGATCCACTGGAATTCTAATACAAATGATCAAGTAGAACTGTTTTGGAATTGTATACAATACAAGCCTACCAACCAGGAAATATTCAAGGATGCACATACGCTCAGGGAGGTAAGGGCGTGAGGTGAAGATATTGCCTAGGGGTCTATAGTCGACATGTTGAAACACCCATAGACTTATGAAGAGACTATAGACATTGAGATGGTAATGGAAAGTTTGAACTCAACGCCATCACTAATGACTCAACTGGGGCATTCTCTTTGTAAGGAATTCGTCTATCTCCTCTCGGATACTCTTTGAAAAGTTGTATTGTTGAGGAACTTCCTGTGCATTTCATGCATATCTAAGATTAATGTACATTAATAACATTGTTACTTTTGCTCGAAAATAATATGGATCCTTTTGTAAGGATACACTGTTATTGGTGTTTCTTTTAATGAAATGATGTATTTTTCTTAATTTTTCCATGACAAATATTCAATTTATTCTTTATAGATTGTATTATAACTATTCTAGCCCTAGCCCGAATATACTTCTTTCTCTTTGAATATCAATTATTCAAGTAACAATATTTTCAAATCGAAGATCACTCTAAAAATGATATGTTTTTAAAGAAATTTGAGGGTTATTAAATGAAATAAATGAAAATTGAACATTCATTGAACTAATACAATAGGTGATTAAATGCATAATTGGCAAGCAAAGTTTGTGACAATAGTATTGGTAGTATGCTTTATTTGTTATAAGTCAATTTTGTCCTTCCTCTATGGCGAGGCACGTATATACGAGCCCACAAATGCTTACGGTTGACCAAGAATTTGGCTTTTGGTTGGCCATTCAAAACCATGGGTATGACCAACGAAGAAGTGAAGACAATACGTCCGAACTGAGGTTCCTGCCCTGGATGACCAACGTGTTCAATCACAACATCTGCCACCACTTCTCCCCAGTTCCTGCAATGCAAAACCCAACCACCTTAAACCAGTTCCTGCAACACCTCTTAATTACTTTAATTACATACCAAGAAAGAAGTGAATGATTTCTTCCCGGCTTAAGGGTGACCTTTGGAGAATGTTAGGAACATCGTCCTCGCATCTTCCGGTGTTTGTCCCGGACGAAACTCATCCGCACCCGGATTCAAACTCGACACCTTGTGTGCTGTCTCACCAGGGGTGGATCCCTCTCCAAGAGGTCTAGCAACCGGCTTTAAACCAGATTCATCAACTTCAACAGCAGCATTCTGGCCGAATATTTTGTCACAAACAGTCTCCATAATGTGGACGTACCGCTTGTACATAAACTCCCGATTGTAGTAAAAGAATCTGGAGTTCATAGGCTCATCCACAAGGCTGAGAAAAACAGGGGTGTCATGTGATTCATGAGTTGGTGGAGAAGCATTCGGCTGAATGAACTCCAAGCATTGCAATGCCTCGTTGAATAAAGCCTCGATGGTGTCGTCGTCGTACGAATGGATGATTCGAATGAGTTCATGGTATCCGATTTCTTCAAGCATGAGCCACAGTGCCATTGCAGACTTAACCTGCTGGGAGTTTTTGCCCATTGCCATCACCATTCTATTGAAAAGGACTCTTTCTAAGGTATAGAAAAGCAACAGGTCTACTAGAGTGCCTATTCGAGGCATATTCACTATAATGGAGACTGAAACAAAGATTACCAGAAAAGTTCAACACCAAAAATCAAAATGTTGCTGAATACAATCCTAGATTTATTGTATTAAATAAATGGGAAATGCATTAAATTTGACGCTTTGGGACGGAGAAATTCTTTTGTGACTCCTTGGTTCAAGAAAATGCATTTACTCAATTATTGCTGAAATGGAAATGCAGTTGAAAATTCATGAACATACCAAGCTTTGTGGCGTGCCTTCTTTGCTGATTCACTTTAGATCTCATTATTTTAATTATTATTTCTTAGTATGATATGAAAATAAATGTAATACATTTAACAAAAATATATTATCATAAAGACAATCTCAAATTCTTTTTCCTGATATAATCACCGATGTCAAATTTATTAATCGATTAATCAAGCTAAATTTTTTTTTTTTAAAGAAAGAAAAAAGAAAAAAAAATCCAAGATGTTATTGACTGCTTTTTTTAAGGGAGACCATATATGCCATCAAAATCATGATACAAACAACATCAAGAGTAAAGTACACCTATGATCCTTAACTATTGATTTTATTTATTTATTTTGACTATCAATTTTTTAAGTTTATTAATAAATCATCTAATGATTTGATTATTATCAATCAAGTCATTGGCCATTAACTATTAATGGAGTGACATGATTGTTAAAAAAATTGGTATGATTACATATTTGAACCTTAATATTTACACAACCTATCAATTTGGCCATAATTTTAATCCAGTTTAATAGATTTTATCTATCAATTAGATAGTAACACGTGTAAATATTTATTGAATTAAATTAAAACCAGGATTAAGCTGATAGGATGTGTAAATATTAAGGATCAAATGTATATTAATTTTGTTAATTGTCATGTCAATATTTATGTTAAATGTTAACTGTAGAAGACTTGATTAACATCATTTAAATAATTAAATGGTCTGATTGACAAAATTAAAAGATTAATTATCAAAATAAGAAAAGAATAATTAAATGGCCATATGTGTAGTTGACCTTAAAATTAATCCTAAAAATTTAGCAGCAGCAAATCATAGACTATTCAACACAATATTTGAAAGTTTATATGGGAGATAAAAACGCAATAAAGTGTTGATAAAAAGGCAGTTGTCTACATGTAACATGTATGTGTATAGTAACTCGCAGAGGCAGATGTACTAAATACTCGAGGGAAGTATTTGTATATTGACATAATGTTAAAAATAACCCCAACGTTTATTAAAATATCATTTTGGCCACTATTTTTTTTGGGAGCATTTTGGCCTCCCAACGTTTCATTTTAGGACAAGAAATTTTCTTTATAGATGAAAATCATTAGTTAACACATGATTAACGGTCTAAAATAAGAGTTTTTTAACTTAAAATGAAATGTTGATGGCTAAAATACCTAGAAAAAAAAAAGAATAAAAGGCAAAATGATTATTCTGTCAAATGTTAGACATTTTTCACCCTCATCTGTCTGTTTATTACATTACAGTAGATTTTTACAGAGGGCTGCACTTCTCTGGAGCAGTGAAAGTATTGATTGCAATGTCTACAATTTCTTTAGCAGAAGTGAGCTTGAAATATACATACATAACTTCAACTACAAACCATATGTAAGTCTAAGGCGCTCTTCGAGGTATTCCGAGGATTTTATGGGTGGAAATCTGCATGTAAGAAACATAAATGAAATCTAGAAAAATTAAGCAATTCATAGCATGAAATATAAATGAGCAAGAGAAGGTAGGTCTTATTTTTCTTTCAGTTCTATTTTAACAAACGGCAACCTCTTTTGAGATTTCAGTTAGGATGTGCTCATAAATAGTAAATGAGCTGTGAACTGATAAATGTTCCATTTAATAGGTTGTTTTTAACTATAATCGAATCAAAAACATTGAAAGTGCCGGTTGAATAAATACCTTGGTGGGCAAGCCTCACTGCAACAGCTTTCCAGGCATCCCACAATACAGTCTTTGCTTGGATCCAAGAAGAATGCCACCTGAAATGTTCACAAAAAATAATTATACAAGAGAAAGGCCTCCCTCAAATGAACAAGGATAGAATCAACCAATGACTGGTGATGACATTTCAATCTTTTGCCCCTGTCAAATAATCAGATATGAACAGATCTTGATATGAAGCTTACGAAATTTGAAAGGACATTCAACAAACTGTTCCTAACATAACTGAACTCCCCCCCCCCCCAAAAAATGATGTCGAACTATCTACTTAAACAGGAAAGGGTGAATCATTACAGAGTAGCGTTCTTGTATTGGTGGCAGCACTCTATGCAGTGTTGACCTGCAAATGCATGTCACAGGATTAAAGGAGATACAAAGAAGCTGACATTATTGTTTTACAGACCCTCCGAGAGAGGAATCAAAAACCTTTTAAGATAACAGACAGCTGAAGCCTGAAGTACCTGAACAAACAATTCGTCCACCTCTCCATCATGTCCCCGATATTAACAACGAATGCCCTACAAATTCCGATCCAATGTTCAGAGGCCGATTTGACAAAGGCAATAACTATGTTGTTTACCTTTCCTTTTTTTCTTTGGGACTAGATTGAAATGTAGGAATTAAGCACTGCAAACCAGTACTTTTGTTCGAATGATTACATGAACAATCTGCCGACTGCCATCACTAATGGTACTCACCCAGTCATGCTTGGCACATCCTCCCAAACCTGTGGTCGCTCGGATTTCTCCCTGCAAATCTGTTTTCACAAAGGTGAAACCAAGGTTGGGTTGAAATACAAAATTTAAGGTTTGCGTAACAAGGAACGCACCTGAAGCCCTGGAACACCATCAGTCATCAGAAGAGTGATCATTCCATAATCTGAATGAGCAGAAGCACCATATATTTCTTCACTAGAAGAATCCAAGTCCCCTAACATCAAAATTGAAAGACATATTTTGATATTTTGAAGGTCTTATGGCTCTGAACTTGTAATCATCTCTTCAATCTTCACTCAAATGGGAAGATTTAGATAGAAGTATAATGCAAAAAAGACTAAGGAAGAAAAGGGGTAAGTTCTCCATAAAACCTTGAGAACAATCAACGACTTCAACAAATATAGAGAAGCCAGGTATTGGTACCATACCTGGATAATGTAATAAACGAATAAATGCATATGGTTCAGTAAGGGCGCCCACTTTTTCAAAGAAATCTTCCTCTAACTTCAGGGACATGGCAATTAAAGAAAGTAATTTAGTCCCAGCAGACCTGAGGAAACAAATCTAGCACCATTTAAGTCTTGAAATCATTCTCTTCTACAAGCTGGTATTCTGAAATATTTCTGCTAGTAGAACAATGTCCTATGGACAGAGGCAGCCGAAGTCTCATAATATAAGTTTCCAAGCAAGATAAAGTTGAATTCAGAACTCAAAAGTAAGTTTTCAACCGGGAAAATGACAAGGAAATTTATAAAAAAAGGGTAAGGAAAATTATCAAATTATGTAAGAACCTGTTTGCGAAAAATGAAGTATAAAGAGACCAGACATGTATGAAATCATTTGTAGCATCTAAGCTTGTATTATAACAAAGAATAACTCTAATCTCGGAATAAGAGTTTTATTTCTCATCTGTGAACCATAAATACAAATATGTGAACAAACAGCAGGGACTCACAGCACTTTCTGGTAATAAGTCTCCATTGTGCTTCTCCAAGATGGAAGATCTTCTGCGATTTCCAAGCCAAAAGACATCTGAGTATAACTCAATTAAACTTCTTATATGAAGAAACTATTTTTAAAAGGTGCAAATTAGTACAAGATGTTTGAGATCAAGGTTTTAGATAGCCGTCCGCGACCACGATAGCGCCCGCGAAATAGCGGTAGCGCTGCCTTCCGATATACCCGCTATACTCACAATAGCGTCCGCTATGGCCGCAATCGCGACATGACCAAAAACACGACCGCGATTTGAATCCCTATTTGAGACAACTAGTACAAGATCAAGGATGGACCGAGGGACTGACAGGACTGTCATCTCTTAAAATTTCAATTTCTCATATTATTTAAGTATTTTTTTATTAATAATCTATTTTCATCTCCCAAAATTTTTAAGTTCGTCTCCTAAAATTTAGAAGTTTGCCCTCTAACATAAAATCATTCGTCTGTCCTGTTCAAGATGCTTGCTTTGTATAAGATAATCATACATACCTTCTAAAGGCCATTGATTAAGGTCATCAGCAAGTGGACCAATATAGAAACTTTGTTTAGAGTCACCTGTTTTCCAAGAAGTCAAAAAGTGATCAATCTGATGCTTAAATTACCTTTCACATTAAACCAGAAAGAAATTAATTAAAATAAAATAGAAATACCTTTGGTATTTAAATTAGGATCAAGCTTTTCAGCATAAAGTGGTGTATAACCTCTGTGATTCTCTCTAGCCAACTTCATCTTGGCTTCAATTGGGAGTGAAAAGAAGCTGCTACTCTGCTTAAATACTTTCTTAACCAATTCTTCATCAACCCCATGATTCACAAGGTAAAAGAAACCATGATCAATGCATGCCTGCTCAGAAACAAAATTTATTTTTTGGGGGGAAAAGAGTAACAAATCTTATGCAAAGGAGATTTCTTTGCTAAAAAATCAATAGACTGAAACTGCAACTACCTAAAGATTAATATTGGCAATGCAAATGGATAAAGAAGAAATAAAGATAACACAACCTGACGAATGGAGTTGGCGGTGGAGAAGCGATCTGGTGAGGACAAGTCAATGATGGGAAGTTCAGCCATTCTTTTCCTCTTTCTTTTTCGTGGTTTCTGTTGTTGCTTACTTTATTTTGATTTTTTTTCTAATATTATCAAAAGGTTAAACTATCAAAATAGTCCCTGTATCATACATTCATTTAGGATTTAATCCCTATATTCCAAATTTACTTAAATAATACTATTGGTCCACATGAATGTTTATGAATATATCTTGCGTATATGAAAATAAAAACTTAAAATACCTGTAATCAAGGTTTTACCTTTTTTATTATTCGAGATCTCAAAGAATAACAACAATTCATTCACTATCGAGACCGCTTGCTTCATGCCAAAATATAAAAATTAAACCTTCACTCTTTCTTATTTCTTTGAAACTTTTATTATGTGGGTGATGTTGGCACTAGACTTTGGAGGGCTAATTAATTTATGAATAAACTACAAGTTTAATATTTAAATTATTACTTTTTTTCGTTTTGATACTTAAATTTTATTTTTAAAAAATCATACTTAACATTTAGTTTAAATTTTATTTTGGTACCCTGCCATTAAAAACGTAATGAAATTATTGTACGTGACATTTTTATGGATAAATTACATCATTCATCACTAAAATTTTAAAAAAATAATTTAATTACTCAAATATCAACTTGTTTCTGTTTTAATCACTAATTTATTTTATCGATATTTTTTGTGACATGACATTTTTATTATTATTTTATTAATATATAATTAAAATAAAAAATAAATTTAAAATTAAAATTATACCCAAATCCAAAAATTATACCACAAACCTTAAATCACAAACCCCTCATATATTAATAAAATAAGTTAGAGTGATTAAAATATGAATAATTTGAAAGTTAAGTGATTAAATTAAAAAAAAACTTCAGTGAACAAAATAGAAGTGATAAGATAGTTGAGGGACGAATAATATAATTTACTCATAAAAAATGTCATGTACGACAATTTTAAGTTTTTAACGGTAAATTACTAAAATGAAACTTATACTAAACATTAAGTATGATTCATTGAAAAGAACTCTTAAGAGGTTGAACAAATTAATATGAATTTGCATATGTTACACAAGGAATAAAAGGGTAATTACTTTCATACCATTCCATTTTTGCAAGTTATTACTAATTTAACAATTGATTTATTATTTTGACCCATCAATTTTGAATTTATTCAAATAAGTCCCTGAATTATTAATTAGTGATATGTAATTTTGTTTTATGAATTTCAAGTCCAATTCGAGTATGAAAGGTCATGAAAAGGGCTTATAAGCTAAATTATTAAACTTGAGGTTAGAATTTTGAAATGAGTGTAATTCCAACTTATTCATATATTATCTTCCATATTCATATCATTAATCTAGATAGTCAAAAGTAATAATTGATGGTTTGTTTGTTTATTGTAATTGATTTTTCAAAAAATATTATATTTATTTTTCGGTGTTTGATCGGACTAATGTAATTCATTTTTCTAATCAACATAATTTCTTTTGTATTTTTTGAAAAATGATTTACGATCTGATACTCCATAAGTCATTTCCAAACTTTTCACTTCAAAGTATGAATACTCAAAATAACATTATTTTTGTATTTAATATTAATATATTATTTATTTCAATAAAAATATTAATTATTAAATTATTTATTAATATTTTATATTATATTTTCAATTTTATAATAAAATATCTAACTATAGTATAATAAAATATAATATTATATTCTTATTTTAATAATATAATAAATTGTATTGTTTATTATAGATATAACATTTTAAAATAATATTATTTATTATATTTAATATTTATAATAAATAATCTCTAAAACATTTACCAACCAATGAAAAATGATTTACACAACATCATCCAAACACCATAAAATAATTTACAGAAATTATACCCATTCATAAACAAGTAAAATCAAATGCGCAATGACCTTACACCAAAATATATACATAAAACAAGCAAACTAGATATATTCTGGTTCTGTTTCTTCTTCTTTTCACTATCATCTGTCTGTTTATTACATATCTTAATGTAATCTGCACGCTGTGAACATGTTGATTTCGATGTTTGCAATTCTTTAGCAAAAATGATCGGTTTGAAACGTAATACGTGAAAATGATGCACAACTTGAACTACAAGTCAAATGAAACTCTAAGACGCTCTTGCATGTAGTCTAAGTACTTTATGGGTGGAAACCTGCATGTAAGAATGAAAAAAATGTTACCTCTCTCCCCCATGATAAACATATATCGAATGTGTAATGCATCGGTTCCTCCTTTTTCTTGAAATATTCATGTTCATGAATAACAAACAACGCCCTCTTATGAGCTGAACATGAATACCATGCCATAACATTGAAAGAACAACCTAAAATCGATACCTTGGGGGACAAGACTCACTGCAACAGCTTTCGAAACATTCAATGAGACAGTCTTTGTTGGGATTCGCGAAGAAAGCCACCTGAAATTTTTGAAAAATAACATGCAATGTGCAACTATTATGCTTAATCACTTGAGATATGTAGACATAAGAAATGACAATAGAAGTAAACATGAAAGGGTGAATCATTACGGAGTAACGTTCTTGTCCTGGTGGCAGCACTTTATGCACTGTTGATCTGCACAGGAAAAATCAAAATATAGAAGCTGACATTATTGTTTTACAAACTCAAAGGGAAGCTATTTAAGATAACAGGCAACTGGGATTTACCTAAACAAACAATTGGTCCACCTCTCCATCACGTCCCCGATGTTAACAATGAACGCCCTACAGGGTCATATACAATGTTCAGTACTTTTGGTCTACTGATTACTTACATGCCATCACTAGTACTCACCCACTCATGCTAGGCACATCCTCCCAAACTTGTGGTTTCTCGTTTTTCTCCCTGCAAATCTGCTTTCACAAAGTTGAAACATATATTGCGTCGAAATTCGAAATACATAATTTGTGTCACATTGAATTCGAGTTGAACTCTGACAACAAGGAACACACCTGAAGCCCTGGAACACCATCAGTGGCCAAAAGAGTGATCATTCCAAAATCTGAATGAGCTGAAGCACCGTGTATATCTTCACTGGAAGAGTCCAGGTCTCCTAATATCAAAATTAATAGGCATATTGTTATATTCTTAAGGGTTTATGACTTGAAAAAAACATGAAGTTAAGTAGTGGTACCATACCTGGATAATGTAATAAACCAATAATCGCCGATGGATCATTAAGCGCACCCAGTTTTTCAAAGAAATCTTCATCTAATATCAAGGATAGCGCAATTAAGGAGAGTAATTTAGTCCCAACAGACCTGAGGAAACAAAGATAGCCTAATTTAAATCCGGCCATTCTACAAGCTGGTATTTTGAAATACCATAGCTGAATCTCAGTATAGTTTGCTTATTTATTCTTCTGTTCTCATCTGTAAACAATTAAGAGCAATCTGTGAAGTAACAGACTGCAGTTTTTGAAAATAAGTCTCCATTGTGCTTCTCCAAGATGGCAGATCTTCTACAATTTCCAAGCCAAAAGAACATCCGATTAGAACTCAATTAAACTTGAAACTATTTATACAAAGTCAGAAAGAAAGATGCAAACGAAGAATGAATCAAGTAATTTGAGACAACTACTGTAAGATGTTTTGTACAAGTACCTTCTAAAGGCCATTGATTGAGGTCATCAGCTAGTGGACCAATATAGAAACCTTCTCTAGAGTCACCTGTTTTATCAAGCAGTCGGAAGTGATCAATCTGAGCTCTTAAATCCCTTTTTACTCTAAACCAGGAAGGAATCGGGAAAGCAAAGTAACTCTGCTGAAATGGGTTCATTGGAAAAATCTTGAATAACCCACCAGTTTCTGGAATTAAACTCTTTTTTTAATGAAAAAGTTAACTCATTAAAGAACAAGTATTTGAGACAGAGAGTAGAGAAAACAAGTGCACTTGGGTCATTGGTGCAAATTTGAGAGATCTTTATGGAGCCATTGATCAATACAAGAAGGTGGTTATTGCCATGAAAAACAATCATAAACCCTCCCTTATAGAAGCATATCAAGCAAGATGATGGGCTGGTGCATTTCCAGTGCTCATTGCTCGACACATGCCGAAGCTGAACATAAGTAAAGTTCGTGCGACATGATAATCTCAGTCTCGGATATTAAGGCTTGCTATTATGGAATCAGTGCTTCTAGAGAGTTTCAATAAGATCAACGAATCAAACTCGTTCATATAGTCATTTAACAGGCAGCTTTGGGAAATAGTAAACAGTCAAAATGAAAAAGGGGAAAGGAAAGGTTAATCAATTAAAAAAAAGAAAAATTACCTTTGGCATTTGAAGAAGAAGGATCAAGTTTTAGAGTATTAAGTCCTACATAACCTCTGTAATTCCTTTGAACCAACTTCATCTTGTGTTCAATTGGGAGTGAAAAGAAGTTGCTACTCTGCTCAAAAACTTTCTTACCAATTCTTCATCAACCCCATGATTCACAAGGTAAAAGAAACCATGGTCAATGCACGCCTGTACAAAAATTCATCAGTTTTGAATACTAGCTAGCAACTCAAAAGGCCGAAGAGGAAATAAAAAGACAACCTGACGGATGGAGTCGGCGGTGGAGAAGCGATCTGGTGAGCACAAGTCAACAACGGGAAGTTGTAGAGCGTCTGGCATTTTTTCTTCTTCTTCTTCTTTATTGGTTTGAGCTGAAACTTTGCGTTAACAAAAAATGATTTATATAAAAATAGCAGCTGCATGTGATTCGCGGAATACTTGGGTATTGCTTGATTTTGAATTAGTATTACAAGTCAGAAAGAAAGAAAATAACATTATTTTCATACATATTTTATAAGAATTAAAACAATATTATTTTCATATCAGTTTGATATTTTCAAAATGAAGTTACTTTGGTTTCATCTTTCATGACATAACGACTAGTAACCAAAATAAGAGTGATTCGAATGTTTAATAATTAAATTAAAATTTTAATGATGAAAATAAAAGTGAGAATAAAGTTGAGTGATAAATTTTAAAATATACTCTTAATATTTTTAGGGTGTCATTTAGGTAATTACCCTGGGTGACCTCACTCTTCCTTTTATATTTAGGCAAGGGTAAACTACATGGTTGACCACTCAATTATTATCCTATTTCATTTTGACTATCGATGTTTTGATTTATCAATCAGACCACCTAATTATTTAAATTGTTCAATCAAGTCACCATCATTAAAATTTAACGGAGATGATGACATAGCAGTTAAATACTTTGGTATAATTACACATTTTGTCTCATTTACTTATATATTCTATCAATTTGGTCTTAATTTTTATAAATTAAAATAAAATTAACCTCTCAAATTAGATGGTGTCATTTGTTCAATCAAACCAGTGTCCCCTGGGCAAGGAAGTAAGCACAAACCATTAAGCCAAGCCTACCTTTTTTATAATATAGAAGTCGCTAATTTTATTAAAATTAGAAAAATATTCAAATTACAATGTTTACAATCGCAATTGTAAACTAAAACATATAATAATAATAATATTTTCTTAGAAATATTAACATAAGAAACTAGTCACTTATGATCACATTGACCATATAAAGAAAATTTTAAAAAACTAACTAAATAAACTCGAATAAAAGGTAGATGCAAATTGATCAGACCACATCGACAAACAAATTACAAAGGGGATTAAACTATTGAAAGATTATCGATAAACTATTAATCAAAAACAAATGATGTAAGAAAAATGTCCACAAACACAAATCACGTATCCAAATCTAATATGAGGCTCCAAAGCATAGAAAATTATCATGATAACAAATTAGCGTCATCTTAATCAGTTGTAGTGATGTCAAATCCAACAATGAGAAAAATGTTAAACGAAAATAACGATCAAATGACCAAAAACATGCTAAAAATGCAAATGAAAACATGTCATAAAAACAGAGTTATTAAAAATTAGAACAAGAAAAAATATAAAGATACGACTTAATAAAATAAAGAAAAAAAATGAATAATGATGGTTGACGACCAACACTAAGGTTGGTGTCATTGTCGATTACAAAGATAATGAAAAAAAAAAAATAATGGCAGGACAAGAAAAATAGAGAAAATAGGGTTAAAAACCCATAAGCTTACCCTTTTTTATTGACTAATCTAGATCGACACGCATCGCACAGTAAGAATTTTCTGCATACATAAGGATTCGAACTCGAGACTTTAATTAAAAGATATCAAGTTGCTTACCACTTGAATCAACATTTGTTGGTCGAAATCCTACTATTTGATATGGAGGAAACAACATGTACTATATATTTTTCTTATTATATAAATATTTTACTTAAATTCATAATATTTTATATATCTTAACTTTTAAAAATATATTTTATTTTTATTTTAACTTATTAAATATATTTTATTCTTATTTTAATTTAAAAAATATTTTTATTCTTATCTTCAATTAAAAATATATTTTATTTTTATTTTAACTTAAAAATATAATTTTTTATTATCTTTAACTTTTAAATTTTAAAAATATGTCTTAAAGAAATATATTCTATTCTTATTTTTATTTTAAAAAATATAGATTATCTTAATTTAAAAATATTCAAATATATATTTAAAAGTCAATATAAGAATTAAATATATTTTTATTTATTTTTAAGTTAATATAAGAATAATATATATATATATATATATATATATAAATTAAAATATATTTTTAATTAATAATAAGAATAAATTATATTTTTAATTGAAGATAACAATCAAAATAAAATCTAAAAGGTTAAGATACATAAAATATTATAAATTTAATTAAAATGTTATTACTATAAGATAAAAATATATAGTACATGTTTATTTTATGTGAATTGGTTGCTTCATTGTTTAGAGGACACTAGTTTGATTCCCCTTACCCTTCATTTGTACGTAATTTGTTAAAAATAAATCTATTAAATTAAAATAGATTTACTTTTTTAATCGAATAATGATACGTTTTATGACACATATTATTATCTAATTTGAGGAATTAAATTTATTAAAATTAAATCTAAATTAATAGAACATATAAATAATATAAATTAAATATATAATTATACCAAAATATCGTCGCGTCATCCTCTTGTTAAAATTTAGGTAAATCGGCATAATGGACTTACGAAAAAACTAAAATTAAAAAAAAAAGTTTATTTTCTTCAACAAACATATTTGATATTTTCTCTTCTCCTTCCTCGGCTGCTCTTCCTTCGCTCCGCCACTTTCTCCGCCGCGTTCTGTTTCCTTTCTGAATTTGTTATCTTTTAAGAAGTATCATCGTTTATGCGTAGTTGTTTTCTTTGTTCGTTTTCGTTTTGCTATTTTCGATGGCTACTACACCAGTAAAGTCGCAGCCTTTACACAACTTCAATTTTCCGTTTCTTAAATGGGGGACCCATGGAGGTGACAGTTCTTCGAGAGGTAGCGCCGAAAACCGCCGTTCTCCCGAATCCGACTCCGACCACCACCATCTTCGTCCGACGCGTGTCGGATCACGCTCCACCCGCATGCACCGCTTATCCTTTCCTTCCCGAGCGAGACCCATTAAACAAATCCCTCGCGAAGAAGAACAACAGCAACAAGAAGAAGAGTTGTTGAAGCCACAAGGAAATAAAGATGAAGAAGAAGAATATGAAGAGGAGGAAGCGGTGCAGAGACCGTGGAAATTGAGGCCTCGGAAGGCGGTGGTGGAGACGTCAACAGAAGTAGTGACATCGGTAGCGGAAAAGTTCGGAGAAACGGCAGCGCCGAAGTCGATGAGATTAAGGGGTTTCGCTGAGAACGGAGGGGTTACAGAAAAGAAAGAGAAAAGGAAGTTTTGGATAGCTTTATCTAAAGAAGAGATTGAAGAAGATATCTTTGTGATAACAGGATCAAGACCTGCTAGAAGGCCCAAGAAAAGGTCTAAGAACATTCAGAAACAGCTTGATGTAAGTATATATATCTGTATAAGTTTTCGTTTTTCATTATTTTCCTCAAACATTTAATCTTTTTCTTCCTTCTGTTTGGATTCTTAGAATGTTTTTCCCGGATTATGGTTGGTTGGTACGACGGCTGATGCTTACCGTATTGCTGATGCTCCCATTAAGGTTTGTTGCTTTACCTAAATTTTCATTTAAACTTGTTTACAATTATGATTTTCTTAGCTCATCATTGGAATTTTCTTACCTGAATTTGCAGAAATGACCTGCATTTGGATGCTTAACAGATTCCCATGTACAAAAGGTTGTATCTAAGCTTCTTTAACTTTGTGCTCTTTAAACTTCTATTGTTGTTTTTATTTTCTTAAGCTTGCTGCTAAAATAGTTTGGCGATAGTGTTTGCAGGGGATGCTTATGGTATTAGTGAATTTGGAAATCATGGAGCTTGGTAGGTATATGAACATTGAGACCTCAATTGTTTTTAGGTATAATGGAAATATGATGGTTGTAAAGGAAGAAAATGAGAAGATATTTAATTTCTTTTTATGTTTTTTTAATGTCGACTGTCGATGCAAAGGGTAAAATAGGGTTAGAGTTGTGGTGGGTTTATAGATTGATGGTAGTTTTTTAAGACATCAAATATGAAGAGAAGAGAATTTCTTTCAAACGCGTTTCATTTCAGTATGCCAAATCATTTTATGGATGTTTTGTCATCGTTTTGTAGTTCTTTCTGATTTGTTGATTGATTACAATGTTTGACAGGCTTCCCTACATCGGTGGGGAGCAGAGTTTCGAGCTCTGTAGTCAATTTCCGATCAGTAAACGGATACTTAAGTTTATTATTGAGGGTACTGCATTCTTTATCTGGAAGAGCTCTTCCTCTGTACTTATCAGCTTCACCAGGGGCACCTGTTAAGGTTATAATTTAGTTTATTGCATTTTTTATTCATCAATCCATATAATAAATAGATCTTAGCATTGGGAAATGTTTTTTGTTGTTGTTTCTGTACAGTTTAGGTTCTTTTCCCTCCATTTTTACAAAATAGTCATTGGGTAACTTATTAGAGCTAATGGTTTCTTCTAAGCCTTAAAATGCAGTTTTTGAACCTTTCTATCTGCCTAATTGCTTTGCTGAAATATCAAGTAGTCAGTGCTGAAAATTTTACCATACCTGAAAAGATTTGTCGTTGAATTGTTGTGTGCAACTTTTTATATCCAAAGCAATACAATTCTGTCATATTTATTCTGTTTTTGTTTGCTGTCTCTGTTTTGATGCCTTAATTGATGCTCAATTACAAGCATATTCATTACTGCCATCTTTGCTCTATTTTTTCTCTTCCATTAAGTGGCAGCATGATGCAATATAGTTGTCAATTATATATGATTTATTTCTTAATCTTTGAATAAAATAATTAAAATATTTTCCTTAAATAAAATGTACATTTTTTAACACGATATCAATATATATCTATAAAACAAACTCTTTATCATTCTACCTATAATCATTTTTTTATAAATATATTTTCATATGAAATGTCTTTTTTCATTCGTATATAATCGGTTTCACAAGCAATTTCCCTCTTTGTAATGAATTGTTTCCTTTTGTCCGAGGGGTTATGTGCTGAACTAGAAGGGGGGGATAGTGGCTAGGTTTTGGTGGTAGAAAAATGATCGGTGGCTTGGGCTTTGGAGGGCTTGCAAAATTCAGCATTGTCTTATTGCAAAGCACCAATCCAAGATCGTTAGGTAGCCGACTTCTTCTAGCCAAATACTTCCCAAATTATGACTTCCTTGAGCGAGTCTTGGTTCGCGTCCTTCAGATATTTGTCGTAGCATTTGGTGTGCAAAGACTTTGCTGGACAGTGTTTTACAATGGGAGGTTGGGGATGGGTCTTCCATCTCGATTCGGAACGATTCTTGGTTATCGAAAGCTTTGCCACTCCTAATGATTTTTGGAACGATTTCTAAATCATCAGTGGCCATTGAATACGGCTTTTCCAGATTTTACCACATGGTTAGATTGGTTGTTTAAAAATACCATAACAACAAAAACATAGCGAAATTATGGTCATTATTTGGATAATTTGAGCATGTTGAATTCGTCTTTTGAGTCATCTATAAAACCTTCGGGCAATATGATTTTAAAGATATTTATGAGAAGAAAAAAATGAGAGTAATTTTCAAAGTTCTTGTTTAATATGCAACCGTTGGAAAATGAGAAAGTGATTTCTAAAATTTCTTATCTAGCAGATTATTTTCAAAATTAGTAAATTCTTCGGGTCATTAATAAACCTTTTGAGCATGATTATCAAATCTTTCAGGTCTTCTATAAGTGCCTTGGGCATGATGCAAAAATCTTTGGATCATTAGCAAAATTTTCGAACAGGATGTTTTAAGGAAGAGATTCGACTTTGAGAGAGTAATATTGTCATCAACCTGACTTTTTCATGAAGAGTAGCCAATCGTTCAAACTGAATTTAATATTTTTAAATGAAAAAAATAAATTGGCAGACACACTAACTAGTGGGAATGATGTCTTTCGCATGGCCTGTGGGTGAGAGTTTCAGGCTTATCTCTCTAAAAACGCTTAGAAACAAATCAATCGTTTGAAAGATGAAGAATAAATTAACTGAAGATCCAAGATGAGTAATGGTGCCAAAAGATGAAGTTGTGGCATGAAGTAAAAGTGCCCAAACTTTGGAAGGAATGTTATTTTTCTTTGGTTCAAACAGTTGTATTTATATACTAGAACGAACGTAAGATTTTATGTTACAAAAGATATTATAAAATATTTATAAATTTAAAAAAAAATAAAATCAGATTATAAATAAAAATTTAGGATGTGGGAAGGATTTGGTTCAAACTTGCAGTTGGGTCAACCTAAATATATAAATACAAGCGAGGAGCAGTAGAGATACGACGGCACCGATCGCTGAGGATTCAAAGGCCAAAATAGAAGTCAACAACATTATAATGGGTTTATAAAATGATGGAACCCCAGAGATCCCGACACACCATTAATTATACGAGATGCGTTTGACAATATATTTAGACTAAATGAGAGGTTTTGTTTATGGTTGCTCCAAAGATCACGCCTCCATCCTATGATTTGGGTACAAAGAAAGTCAGACATAAAAGTTTACGTAAGAAGATAAAATTAAATTTTAGAAAAATATATAAAATATGAAATAATTAAAATTTTCAATAGAACGACGGTTGTCGTTCACTGACTTAATCTATCCTAATTTGGATACTATTCCTTCTAAAACAAATTAGTAATTAGAAGCATGATTAGTGAGTGCAACGACGCATGTATATTCAATGCATCTTGGCCATGTACAAAATATTCATATCAAGAAATGGAGAGTGGACATTTTAGGTTTGTCAAGTCTACTGTTTTACGTTTTCAACGTGAAGCCGAATATTAATTTGCACCGCTCTGGATTTTCGTAATTTCATGCTGAAAAAACAACAAGAAGAAATTTTCCACTTGGATATCACTAGAGAATTTTTCATCCAAATTTGTCACAATTATATTTATTTGGCTTAAATACACAAAAAGTGTCCAACCTATGTCTGTTTTTTTCAGTTTAGTGCCTAACGTTTATTTCGTTCCAGTTTTATGTCTAACGTTTCATTTCGTTACTTAAAATGGATCAAGTCGTAACGAAACGTTTTATTTCATTGTATACCCCGTGAACCCTAGGATGAAAGTCGCAATCCCAAGTGATTTCGACAACCAATCGATGCCAACTACGATGACTTATAACTAGGATGATGATAAGGACTACGTCAGCGGCGGCGGGCGTGGCCAGAAAGGGCAGTGGCGGCGGGTTAGTATTAGGATTTGAGGATTTTAGAGGTTTTGAAGTTTTTTGTAATTTAAAAGAATTAAGGGTTTTTTTATAAATATAATAATATTTTAAATATTTTTTTTAAAAAATTCAAAATTACGAGATTATGACACATGTCACTTAAAGGAGAAAATTAACGGTCCGTCATGACTTGACTCTCTGGTTCATTTTTCTTTTTTTATTTATTGTTCATAAATAAAGTTATGAAAATGGTTTTATGAACTTAAAAATCCTAGAGATCTCACATAGAGATGGCAAACGGGCAGGTCGGGTGCGGATACCCCTTCCCCCATCCCCATACCCACCTAATATTTTTCAATCCACCACCCGCCCACCACCCATGATGGGTACAAATTTTCAAATTCACAACGCCCACGCGGATACATTTTCAAATCCATCCCCACACCCACTACCCACTAGCGACATACCCATCTAGACCCGCCTGACAGCAAACTAATGGGATGTTGGAGTTGGTTCTCAGACAGTTCGTGATGGGGTAGTAGCGCATGCTTCAATTTGTCAGAGGAGTAGCTCTACGAATGTTATGGAGACAGATTGTAGGGAGCATGTAGTCGCAGAGCTGGATTGTTGTGTTGTTTTCGATGTTAATGGTGTAACATCCTCCATGTCGGGTGAGTGATTGATTTGCAAAGTTTCAACATTTGGGGATTAAAGTAGAATGATTATATAGTTTAAAAATAAAGGTTAGTAAATATGAAATGAAGGTAGGGACCAAATGGTCATTGGTAAGGAAAATTTAATTAAAATAAAATGTTATGGGGTATATGAGACCCACGTGTAATATTAGGTTCCAGAACCCTCCCATTTCTTCTTCCTTCTTCCTTATTTTCTTCTCTTCCTTCTCTCAACGTTGGGCTTGCAATTAAAGGTAAGAAACTGAATTTGGTAGTTTCTTTGATGTTTTAAGATTGGAAATGGAAGCTTAGATGTTATATAAGCTAAAGGAAAGCTTATAGGACATTAAAACAACAAGATAAGTGATTTAGAGAAGGATTTGGAAAATGAATTTTTAGATGAAATTTTGATATGGATGAGTTTTTGATGTTTGAATCAGATTTTTGACTTGTCAAGAAGCTAACTAAGAAGTATGAGGTGTTAGAATTCAAATTAGAACATATTGGAATTTGGGTTGGATTCTTAAATGCTATATGGAGAATTAGATTTCTAAGTTTTAGAGGTATTTAATGGATAATAATTAGTTTAAGTAAGTGTATGAGAGCTAAGAGTAGTAAAGGGATTGAAATATGTATGTTTGAGTTGAAATTAGATGATTTTCGGGCTAAAAATAGGATTTCTGGGTTAGGGGAATCGTTACCCATTCAAGGGGAACCGATACCTCCTCAATGAAATGAATTTCCAGAATGCTATAGGGGAATCGGTACCCCCAGGGGGGGAACCGATACCCCCTCATCGTATATGAAATTCCAGATTGCTTGAGGGGAATCGATACCCCTAAGGGGGGGAACCGATTCCCCCATGAGAAAAAGAAGAAGAAAGAAAAGAAAGCAAGACTAAGCTATAAATTCTTTAAATTAGTAAGCTATTAAAGCTTAATTGCAAGACATAGACATCTGATGATCATCTTAAAAAAAATTATGTTTATGTAGATACCGAGCCTACTCGAGTTCGGGAACAATCTACAAGTAGGATCGATCGAGGAAAAGGCAAAGAAGTATA